CACCCACATGCACATCATGTGTACTCTTCAGAGGTTAAAGATCTAATTGTAGAGTTACTTGCTGGAGTGAAATTAACCACATCATCTTCCAATGATTGTTGAATGGCTGAGTTAAGTTGATTGTTTTCTTCATTGACCAATGAGGCATCATTCATAAACCCTTCAATAACAGAGGCTATTCTTGGAACACTTTGAAGGAAATAAACAAAACGCAGAAAATTTCTTGGACCGTATTCTGGTGATGATATAACATCTCTAGCAATCATAATTACAGTACTTATGGTTAATAAAGAAGTATTGGTATTCATTCCACCTGAGAGGAATGAAAAGAACAAAACATCTTTTAATGCAGATTGTCCATCACAAGTCAACTCTTCAATGTTGAAAATATATGAGAATGAAACATGATCTTGATTCCTCTCTTGAAAAATATCAACTTCTAATATAACTTTCCCTTCATATTCAGTATCTTGGTGTGTTCCTCCACATAAAAATTGTAACTGGGAGGCAAATAGTCTACTCTTGAAACTTAAAAAAAATATATATTAGTACGTATGATCTTAAAGAAGAAAATGCTTCCATAATATAACGGCTCAAAGTGTATGTTTACATAAAATAGGTGTTACAGTAAGTATTTTCTGCTTAACAATTAGGACAATTATTATGAAAAAGAGTTACTGGAATGAAAAGCAAGTTTGAAATGAAATATGATAACTGTTAATTTCATTTCCCGTTTTTTAAAAATAATTTTTAAAAGCACAGGGGAAATTACCTGGAGTGATATCCATTTAAATTTTCCAATTGTAGATCTTCTGTTGCACAAGTTTATTCACGGGAGAGTTACTCGAAAGGAAGAAAATAATCATATATTTATAAATGAGACAAACATGCCAACTTAAAGACCTGAAATGACACATATATTCAACATGTGTCTTTTTAACAGCTTCTTCTGAAACATCACAATCATTCAATTATGCCTCTTCAATTGAAAATGTGTCTATTTACAACATTTCCACGATTATTTGGCATTTGCTATTTGCTATGTATGTATGTATGTGATTAATTTAAAAAACAAAAGATGATTCAACAATTTAGGAAGCCTCTTCCATACTCATAAAAAGAAAACAGTTGCATCATTTGGGAAAAAAACAAACAGTGGCATCATTTATTTTATCTCCTATCTTCTCCTCAAATAAGAAAAACGTGATTCTTACACCACACTTAGCATTTCAAGAACATTGAGAGACGACAATAGAACATGGAAGTACAACATGGCGGTTTGGGTTCCGAAGAAGAACAAGTCACGAATCCCCAAACACTACTTACAACTATGTTTGTAGCACATGGCTAAAGGTGGCCATTGACATTTTGAGTATTAGAAACACCATTACCATTTCCTTTTATTACTATCATATACACAAAAAAATCAGTTTTTCTTTTTCAGAATGATAACTTGGAAACCAAACACTAAATATTCTACAAAACCTCCTTCAATAGTGAATACGTTTTATCAGTTTACATAATATACGAAGGTGCTGCTTTGTCAAATTAAATAACATAATATATAATTATAGAAAATTTCAATAACAAATTAGGTTTTAAACACATAAAAAGTTCATTTTCATGTATATGTGTCATCTACTTTAATCTTTTTATTTCTTCTTGGCCTATCACCATTGATTAACATTGTTTTCTTTGTTTTTCTTTCTTTTGTATTCAGATTAATTTTTCAGTTTTTTTACTCAACCCTTTATTTAAGTTAGAAGTTTTGTTGTTTTTATCATCCATATTCTCCATCTTACTCTTTCTCACGGTATGCTATTGACTCTCCCCTCCCTGACATTTATCAATGATATTACTATCACTCACATTCATGTCATCCTACATATATACATATTATTTGGTAAATAATAGAGTTCACGATAAAAATAATAATTAATCAATATCTTAATACAAAATGTTAACCAATTACATTTTTTCTAGCAATGTATCTTTTATTGGTTTCAATGATTGTAATACCAGAGGATGTGGACCTGAAGTTATATGAATTTATTTTTATTGTAAAAAATATTCACCACCAACCAGATTTTCATTTAGAAAAGACATTACACCATTGTCTTCTGTATCATTATCATTGCTATTTTCCTATATATTTAATTGATTCCATATTAGAAAATAAGAAAAAATGGAATTTTTAACACACAAAAACGTACAATGTGTTTAATCAACTCAGTTGGTGTTTTTTTTAAATCTTCGATAAATCTTTGTTGAACATTATGAAGGATGTTGTATCTGACCATCATCAACAACTAATTCTACTCGATACTTCAATGATCCAGTTATATCTTTATGGGAACAGTTATCACATACAAGTGTGTCTCTCATTTTTTTAAAGTTTTTTTTTTTGCATTTATCACACTAAATGTAGTTCCAACCACTTTTAGAACATATTTCAATTATTTTACCCTGAACTCTAAATACTTTATCCTATAATAAATTAAATTTCACAAGAAGTTTTTGTAAGAAATTATACAATTAGTACTTTTATTAACATGAATACAATTCATAGATATATAGCTACATATATATTTATATACCTGCTCAAATTCTTCAGAAAGGATATTGAGAAGATTGGAAATTTTGATAAAAGTATGTTGACTTAAATTAACAGAATCTTTTCCATTTAAAATATTGCCTTCTATTTTGGGGAGTGTCCTGACAAAATTTTTCTTTTAGGTATTAGAATTTATTTACGTAAAATTAAATTTTAACAAGAAATTGTTGTTAAAAAATAAACTTTTGGTTTATTTATTTACCTTTGCTTGAAATCATTAATTGCATTAATTGGGTCATCAAATAAAATTTTGGAAGCGGATGTTGTATTCAAATATAAATAACCTACTAATTATTAAAATGTTACAATATAATCTATCATATAGAAAAATATTATACATCTAATTTACATAAAATTACCTGAATATAATTTTGGATTGACACTTGTTATAATAATAACTAAACCATTGGAATTTTTTTTTTGCCAATTCCTCTTTTAAAATTTGTAACTTACTCACCCCAAATAGTTACTCGTACTTTACTCCCACTATGGTGACAATATTTAAATATTCAGAATTCAGTGATCGTAAATATCAAATTAATTATCATAACTATCTTTACCATTCAATGATTAGGTCTATAACTATTTTAGAATTCGTATCAACATCTTCCACGGTCAAGAGTCCCCCTTCTTCTATAACACCAACTACATCTAATATAAAATAAAAAACATTAAAAAATCATCACTTAAATTTAAATTTTGTATTATTAAAATGATTTTATTTAATATTATTACTAACCGTTAAATAGTTTATTTGTATTGGCTAACAACTGAAACTCATAATAATTAAGAAAATGGAATTTTTCGAAATTTATTGATACCACCAAATCATTTATAATTTCCACAGTTGATTGGTCATTTATACGTAACTGAAAACAATGATTCGAAATTTTATAGCTTTCATGTGTTTTCCAAACTTCAAAACCAGTAACCAATAAAATGTTACCCTCAACAATTTTTTCTTCAAATTGTTGGATAAATTTATTATTTATAGATCCAACAATAGTTTCATTTTGAATCATCAAATAAATAAAACAATAAATTGTTAACTACTAATGAAATGCTTGTTTCCCCACTCAGGAAAAAACATCATTTCCCATACAAATCATTATTAGAGATGCAATATTTTTATAAATAACAAAAAATAATTTTTTTGTCTAGTAATAGAAAATTAAGACAATAACTTCATTGTTTCGTTTAGGATTTTTGGCTATCCAAACACAAATGATCCTTCTTATAATTGTTTGTTGGCAAGGTTTCATTTGAATATCTTCTAATAATTTGTATTTGGGTAACTTTATAGAATCTTTATTCTTCACCATTCTTTTTTCAAATTGTAAACTTTTAGTTTCAAGAATGTTGTAGACATACCCTATATATAGAGACTCATAGAATTCTTATTACAAAAGTTATAACTTTTCAAATTATAGTCGGTTTTTTAAATGAAAAGTCACAACTTTTTACTAATACATCTTTTCAATATATATATATATATATATATATATATATTTCTTGCATTGACATATTTTTACAAATTAACTAACTTTTAAACAGACACATTGTTTCAATATATTGAAAATATTTTTAATATATTTTCAATATATTAAAACTATTTCTTTTTTTTTTAAGAAATAAATTCATTATTTCAACTAAACTAATTCTTCAAAGGACATATAGTTTCAAAATAAATTAACATAATTTAATTTAAAAACAAAACCTTTCAATTTAATATATATTTACAACCCCTGAAATTAAGTGTCAGATTTTACAAACGCATCTCAAATTACAGCATTTTAACATCATCTCTCTCTCTTTGTGTGCGTGCGAGAAAATGTTATCTCTTCTTACAAGAAATTAATTGTCTTCTGGTACGTATACCATAATAATTCAACAGATACATTCTTTGACTAAATTATATATATTAATTATATTATAAAATACACTTTTACAATATTTAATAACTAACTTTTGAAAAGATCCATTGTTTCAAAACATATATGTATTTTAAACATATATAAGTTACAACCTTTCAACCATATTTAAAAAACCACTTTTACAATAATTTATAACTAACTTTTTGAAAAGATACATTATTTAATATTATTTTTAACTAGTTTTTGAATAAACACATTGTTTCAAAATAAATTTAAAAAATAAAAATAAAAATACAAACTTTCAACTTAATGGGAATTCACAACTTTTGGAATTAATGAGGATTGTTATTATTAGTAGATATTGACATTAGACTCTAAAAATGTTGTTAAAATTTATATTTACAATGATTTATCATTTTGATACAAATTATTCAAATTCTATACTGAATACACTTTAAAAGTCACGCAAATGATTAATCACAACATACAATACTTATAAAAATATGTTCAATAAAACAGTATACACCAATTGTGCAGGCAAGTTCAACAGAAGTATGTTCTTCTGTAGCAAAAAGAATAGCTAAAAAACACAACATACGTACAAGTTGCGGAAATTACTTACAACATACACTCCTATAAGCAAAACAGTTATACAATATACATATATTTCTTTCTTTTTTTCTGGTAAAAGACAATATACATACATATATAAGGGATGACATTTGATGTTATGTCTGAACTAGAAAATCGTATAACCTAACCTGACTCAAGTGCTTGTGCACTCATCATGAGACAAGAACCAACACAACGGAAAAAGTTAAAACTGTGTAGTACCCAATGATTCAAGAATCACTCCAACTATCTGAATCTTCATCCTCGTCACTTCCAGCCATTGCCTGCACCAGTGAACCACACCGGTTTAGATGTGCGTGCAATAGATAGAGAGAAAAAAAAGTGAACTTTTTATCTGGTCTATGGTCAGACTAATAACAGGAGATGGAAAGAGAGGCAACGGACCTGGCGTATTGTGTTTGCTTTCTCTAAAATTGCAGCTACCCTTAAGTTCGTTTTCGGACCGGTTTGAATGTTTGGTCTTGTCGTTACCGCAGGCTTTAGACTCACGGACTGCATAAACAAAACAAGTTCAAACATCTCCTATAAAGTTCTATTAACAACATTTAAAAACGGCAGGTGTAAGATAAGAACAATGTGTGATACCTTTTTCGTATTTGTGCAAGCAATGAATCATTGTCATCTTGCTTTGATTTGATTGGTGGTTGAACCCTCTCAGAGACTTTTTTCAGCTGGACAATCACCAGAACAAAGGATTAGAGACACATTTTTTTAGCACAGGCGTAGGATTGCAGACAAGACGTAATTATTACCGAGCGTCTGTCATGGGCTGCTACGGCATCGACAAGCGGACTTCTTGGACGAGGAAGCTTAATCATAGGGACCTCTTCTAGCTTATCTTTGTCTAAGGTAGGTGCAACAGTGAATGCGCTGACAGGCCACATCGCATCTCCCACTGAAGCAGGAACTATCTTCTGAACCGACAAGTTTGATGGTTCTGCTGTTTCTGCATCTGGCGCATCAGGAATAGAATCAACATTATCTTCTACCTTTGTTGAATGAGTTGGTGTCAACGCTTTTGTTTCAGGACAACTTGAGCTTTCTGAAACATGCACATCTGTATCATTCTCGTAATCTTCGTTTCTAGCTGATGGATCCTGAGGCAGTTGCAATGACGAGTCTTGTAAATGAACGAGCTCCTGGTTCTGAGCAGCATGGTCAGCCAAAAGATTGTTCTCTTCATAACCAAAATCCTCTATAAGCCTAGCAGAAAGATCTGCTTGCTGAGTTCTATGAGAACCATAACTGTCGTCTTGGCTTTTCAAATCAGTGGCAATGGATGATTGCAACGGCTCTTCTGATGCGTTGGTCACAAACTCTCCAGGAAATTGTTCTGATCTGTCAGTTCCTAGTGATACAGACAGCTCTGATGTTTTAGACCCAGTTTGAATATTCAAGCCAGAACCAATGGGTGATGTAGCTGACTGAGCAGAACTACTGGCTTCGCCTGATTCTCCCATGAAGGTGGGAATAAATGAATGTGGAGCCTTCCCAATACGCCATTGCATAGGAGGAAGGGGCGGCAGTGGTGGCATGTCTTCCTGATTGGGTGGAATAGTCTCAGGGATCAAACAAAAGCTAGGGAAAAGAGGATCCACATTCAACTCTTGCTTAGGACTGTTCAATTCTAGGCCTTCTGATTGTGGTACAAACTCTAATTCCCTTGAAGCACTTGACTGCATCGATGCATCATCTTCTAATGCATGGCTTGCACAAGGTGTCTGCACTTTAACTGACTGCTCGATAGTCAAACTTTCTAAAAGGTTCGGACTATTCACTGTTGAAGAATCTGTGCGATTTTCATCAAGAATGCTCTTACATGGAGATTTGGTTTCTGTGTCTCTGTCACTTCGATCCAGAGATGTCATGGGACTTAATGATTCACTATTTTCCAGGTCATTATTGTCTAGGAAAGTACCCAGACCTTCTGAAGATAGTTCCAGTGGGATTTTCTGGATTTTATTTTCTGCTATTAGTGTCCCACTAGACTCCACAGCTGTATCATGGAAAATCTCCCCAGCTTCGGAAGACGATTTCGAAGTATTGGTCGATATCCAAGGCAGAGAACCAATCAAAGTAGGAGATGATAGGCTAAAAGTCTCGTTAACATCATCACTGGAAATAGCGTGATTATCAGACACGGCAAGGTCTTCTTTCGGTACAATGTATGTCGCTGTGTTGTCCAGCCATGGAAGTTCATGAAAGCCTTCATTATGCGTATAACTGGAATGAAATTCAGCAGGTATATTAGAGATCTGTTCATCGCTTTTGCTACAAGTAGGTGAAGCATCCCCCACTGATTTCTCTCCTCCTGAGTAAAAATCAGAAGTAAATTTACTATCAAGGTCAGCAGGCATGTGCATTCCATTCTCCAGTGTGTCTTCATGGGACTCTAGTACAGATACATCCACAGTGGTGCCAAATGCACATGACTGTTCATTTGAGATCTCAGCAATTGAGCTTCGAGGATCAACGCTGGCAACTGCATTAGTCAGTGTACCGCAATCGGTTTCATCATTAAGTATATCTTCTGAGTTTGTCTCAACATCATCATCATCATCATTAGCGAGAGGTAGCTGTTCACCCTGACTATCAAAAAGCACTTGAGGACCAGTGCCTGATTTCACTAAATTTGAAGAATATCAACCATACAGTTCTTGTCAATGGTCTTATCGTATCTGCTTGCTTCAGAAGTTGAACTAAATGACGAAGCTTCAGAAGGGAAGTTAGAGTTTTTTACATCAAACGAAGCACCAGATATTGAAGAATTGATTGGATCCACCTTGTTTCCATCATTGCCTCCGTTAATCAGAGAACGTCTAACCACTTCTGAAGATGGTTCAACGACTTCTGGTGCTAAAGGTTGAAGGGTCAGTGAACATGATTCGGCATTCTGAGAGATTAACCTTGGACTGGAACATGAATCATTCGAAATAAATGATGTCTGGCCATCTGCGTTGAAGCTACCAACAGATTCCTGAACATTAAAATCATGAGACATGTTGTTGGCTTCAGGAGATGCGTGAGACATGGAATCAACAAGCTCACTCTTAACACTAGAAGTAGAAGGCAAACGCCCATAACATTTCTCTTCATCAGAGTGATCATCAATGGATACGCTTGCAGTGTCCGAGTAAGAAAAACTGGTGCTCCGTTTACCAACAGAGCCTTGCCCATTTTCTCTCACCTGTGTGTTTCCAACTGAATGAAAAGATGAAAACTGAGGTTGGTCCTCCATCTTCACTTCATCCACATCAGAATATCTATGATGATTTCCATCTTTCAGAGCACCTGATCCATTCTTAGTTCTACTACACTCATCGCCTGTTTCTGCTTCCGACTCCATGGTGGCTTGTGCATCCACATAATTTTCAGCCTCACTGGTTAAATCTTCAGAATAACTCCTATATTGAAGAAATCCTTGCTTTCCATTCAAATTAGATTGTGAATCCTTTGTAAAAGTCGCACCAGGGAACCCATTGTGAATAGATTCAGGTACAGTCTCTATGTCTTTTTCAGTATAACCCACAGTTTCCTGCTCACTTGGCAAAGAAACATCTGATCTGCTTTCTCTGCGAGAGTTTTCTGGACCATCCACCATACTGATCTCAGGTATACTGGCTACTACATCTCTAGCACTATCTGTATTCCATGTCAACAATTCCGGCTGGTCCCGGTCAATTCTTTCATAACCAGCTTTGTTATCGACATATGTCTGTACAAATTTCCCCATGTAACTTTCCCCTGATTTTGAAATAAGAGAACATCCATCCAGCTTTCTAGTTTTCAGCTTTACAACTCGCGCTGGATCTGAAAATTGAGTCTCTAAGTGCTCCTCCATAAATAATTCATGCAATCTGTACAAGTTAGATGATCCGAAGCAACCATCGCCACTCTTAGTTAATTGAAATATAGCACTTAGAGAACTAAATATGATGGAAATGACAACATACAATACATAAAAAATAGATGATACTCACTTGGCATGTGATCTTAGTGCATTTTCGGGTGTTCCTCCATTCCTCAAATGAGATGCTCTCCTCTGCAAGAGATCAAAAACTATGAGAAACATAGACGTGCACGGAGGAAGATAAGATTAAACATTCAAACACCAAGAGCATGATAATCCTCATAGGACCTGTTTAACTTTAATACTACACTTAAACAAGAACACCAAAGACAAAAGCCTACTTTTTTCAGCGAATCTACCATGTTACCAAACAAACAAACAAAAACAATCAAGAAGGATCACATTGAAACGAACAATCTACAACCTCCCTCTTTTGGAAGTATAACTACCTTTGCTTTCTGTAATTTCTTTTCTCTCTGAATATCATCCCATGATGCTTCATATGACGATGTTTCTTGCCTAACAAACGATGGATCAGTGTAGCGTTTCAAGCACGCCCCAGCTCCCGAAATATCAAACCTTTTCAAAACAATACATAAGATGTTATATCATCCTCAGCTCTCACAAAATACTAGAGAAAAAAGAAAAATCAAGAACAAGGTTAAACATACTTGTCTAGAAGAAACAGCCTTGGGGGAGCCCGACATTCCTCATAAGAATTCATCACACAGCGAGGTAAGTCACCACGTGTGACCACACTCTGTTCCAATTGTAGATTCGGATGCCATTCCACACCTGAGATAGAGTCACAGAGTTCGCCTGAAATAATCAAACAGCATATAGCTGACCAGATCATACATGTTCACAGCAAGGAAACAACAACAAAAAGGCAAGATGCAATGCTTTGGATAAAATGTACAGATGCACATTGAGCACGACAGATGTGCTATCCAGAAAGGAAAAATAACCAGGAGGTTAGGGCGATGCCCAAATCAGGTTAACTTAAGTCTCCTTAGGAGAACGTACTCCTAGGGACTTGAACTTGTAACCCCTTACACTCCTACTAGGTAGTCTAAGAGTTTTAACCACTAGGCCAACTCCTCATTGGTTCTTATCCTAATAATTCGTGCAACGTAGAGAAAGTTAAAAGTTAATTCCACAACAAACTGGCACAATCAGTATACTAAACCAAGCTGTCTTCTATTGCATTGCTTTGGATTCGATTCACGACCTAAATACCACAAAAGTATAGGATCAAACTGACTTTTGTTAGAAAACAGCGGTGAATGATCCGTCTGGCACAGTAACGCCTTCTCAACGAAAGGGACCTCAACTTCGAGCTGCTGAACACGAGCCACTAGACCATGGCTTCTCGTAGCAGTGGCCATTACTTCTTCGTGCAAATCATGGAACATCTCAGCAGCAAACCTTCAATCACACACAAAACAAACTCAATTCCACAATTCAGTGCGATTAGAGAGAGAGAGAGAGAGAGAGAGAGAGAGAGAGAGAGAGAGAGAGAGAGAGAGAGAGAAATCTTACTCGGCGAGATCACCGAGTTGACGAAATACGCCAACGAGACCAGCCATGGCGACGCCTTCGAGGAGAGCTTCGGGGTCATCCTTATCCGCGGATTGATAGAGATCCGGATCCGCTAATCCGTACTCGTTACGAGATTGGTATCTCGTCAACGGCATTGCTTTGATGATGAGGTTCGGCGGATACTGCTTGGGAACTTTTATGAGGAAGACAATACAGGTAAGCTGCTCTCTCTAACTATCTCTATCTCTCTCCATTGAATTCGTGGTCGCTCACATCACATGAGATGATCTTTTTAGGAAAGTGACGTCATCACTTTCGGGGAAACAGACTTTTTGTGTGGATTCTATTCCAACGGCGGTAGTTAAGACGGAGAGAGAGAGAGTGGGGGGGGTGGGAATAATAGTCGCCGCTGAAAGGATTTAGAACAAAATTTAAAAAAAACGAGACAACTGGGGAGATAAATCTAAGATATAATAAAATTAACATGTTAAGTCAACTGGATATGTTAATAACCAATTGTGTAATTTATCTAATATTTATGTATGGCAAATAGTATTTGAATTGGAAAACATAGTTTCATACTGATAAATGTTTGATATAATTTATAAAAATGGTTGTCTATGTTCATTAGCTTGTATATGTTATCACATATTTTTACACACCAGAAAAGACTAATGTGCTTATATCAGTAGTATATTTAAGTATTTTAGTCAACTCTTTATGAAATTAAAAATTAGAATTTTAACGGAAAATATTTTTTTGTGCTATATATATTGGATAGTACTATAATTTACATTAGCCATATATATGAGAATAGATTGCATGCAGAGTTTGTTCTTAAACATTTAAAATCCTCAGATGCATTATTCCTTTTTTTACTTGAGTACCTGAAACTAAAATTTAGTTTAACTCTATTATTTTAGATTAAATAATGAAAAAATAAAATAGTCTATATATAATTATTTTATTATTACTTTTTAGAGTAAAAGTTAAAGTAGAGTAAGAAAATATTTTAGTCAAAATAAAATTTATAGTAGAAATTGGAATGAGACTGAAAGAGGTTTTATTTTCATCAAATCAAACATGACTTTTAGTAGTATAATACATCAAATCTGGTTTTATAACCATGTAAACATGAGACTAGCATACACATCAAACTTGGTGTTCAAAAAAACATACACATCAAACTGTTTTTGGCCAAAACATTTATATTACAGAATTGAGATTTTTACATACTTTTGATCACTTTTTAGTGTTTTTTTTACTTTTTTAGAGGGCTTTGTATATGAAACGCTTTTGGAAAGATTTTGTTATTTTTACAGTCTCTTGAAAATTACAACGTAAGTATCGTTTTTCACAATAGAGAAGCAATTAATTGGACATTCTGACACGATACCAATATACCATGCGTCTCACGCAACATGACGCTCCAGCGTAGATATAGGGCGTCGTTCATCAAACCTTGTGGATGTGGTCTATTTTTTCTTTGAACCACAACTACAGAAAATAACGTAATCATTGGAATATTTGCATGCGCGGACATTTACTCACTATTTCAGTAACAAGAAAAATTTGTTAATAAATATTTATGATTTCATTTATATATTGTTTTTTTCTAAGTAAATGTCCATCAAAAAAATTCACCACAAGTTTTGCCAATGTTTTGATGAAGCCGAGGAGTCAATTGAAAGATAAAAAAATGAGTAGGAGTAGGAGTCTCTTGGAGTTCACTGTCATTTTCAGCTGGAACATCAGTGCTTTAGTTGTGTATATGTGGGTCAGTTTAACGGTACATTTTTCTCTTCTTAAAAAGACATACGTCTTTAGATCATAGATTTAGCTCGCTGCTCCTTTGGATATCTTGTAATAACTCAAAAGTCTGCTCTCGTTTTCCATATTTTCCTAAGGTGTGATTTCTCTTTAAGCTTACTAACCATTTCCTCTCGTACCTCCAAGTTTAAGTTTGAATTAAACTCGACGAATGACGACTCATTAATTGTTCCTCCCTTTTATGTTTTGGAGTTTCAGGTTCAAACATGTCATACATTCCTCCACACAAGCGACATTCGAAGAATCCCGTTATCCCTTGCCCTTTTCCAGATTCTCTAGCTACAAAATTCATGAAAAACACGGACTCCAAAAGTAGCAGTGTTAAAGTCAATATAGCATATTCAAGAGATGCCATTTCCAAATGGTTTCTTATTGGTCCAAAGGGAATATCGGATGAGGTTCCTCCAGGTATTAAGCTCGTGCCGATGTCTTCGGATTCTTCTGAATGCAGATATGGAGAAAAGTCTTTCGTATTGATAAACACTAATGTAGAAAAAGGTAACACTAGTCAGTAGTCACTAAGTATATATTTTATAACTACCATGAATATGATCCTTCTTGCCTAAAGAAGATACACGTACACTGTGTCTTGTTTTAGTATTTTAATATGTTTTTAATACAAAAATATTATAGTTGAGGAAAGTGAAGAAGAAGAGAGATCTCGATGGATGTTAATAGCAGAGAAGGTTGAGAAGGATCTTGTCTTTGCATATGAGCAAGCTAAAAAGGCAATGGAGGATCATCATCTTTCAGATAATGCTAAACTGAGATTGGTTGCTAGGTTTGGTAAACTTCTGTTTCCTAGGTAAACATTTTCTAAGTTTTAGTCTTAATCATTAATTTTCTAATTACAAATATCATTATCCCTTGTTTTCTAACATAAACTTAACATAAAACTAGGCTTCGAGCTGGTCCTGTAACTAAAAATTCATATAGGACATTCTGTACGGATGTCCCAACCTCGTTCATACAAAGCATAAAGTCTAAGGCTATTCCAAGCCATGAATTTTGTACAGACTCGGAAAAGGAAGTATATGTTGTGCAGATATCGCATTACACTCGTCCTTATTCAACCATCAGATGTAAATGTACCGTGAAGGAAGATGGAACTCTCAGTATGTACAAGGCAAGTCTTGAGTTGAGCCACACGTGTGTCTTGATAAGAATCTGAGAACATATATTAACTCGGACCTATTTGTGCAGGCTGAGCTGAATCCTCTAAGGCATTTGGTTGTTGATGTGTCATGCATTGATCAGAATCTTGACATGAGGCTTATGCTCGCCCGCAAAAGTAATATGATGACTCTTACGGTGAGTTGATTTTGATATAATTATGCCTTTTTGTTGGACTTAGATTGGTTATATTTTCTATGATAAGCAGGAGAAAGAGACAAGTAACATTCAAAGATTGCTGGATTCAGCAACTGTAGATTCGAGTGTGAAAGGGGGATTAAGGTGGCCGCTTGGTAAACCTTCATCTGAAAATGGATACACAATATTTGAAGTTTGTCATGTTAAAGCGACTACATACAAGAACCGGTCTCTCAGGCTAAGGGTCAGAGAGACTAAGGGGTTTAGTGAGAGGTTTGGGACATGGGAAGTTGAGAGGGGAGTGACTTTGATACTTCAAGACATCAACACAAAGCTACAGGTAAATTGTTTTTGCTTTGAAACTTTTTTATTGAAAGATGAGACTATCACTGATTATTATTACCCTTATGGTGTGTAGGAGCAGAACATTGATAGGGGGTGTGTTTTGGAAATGCTTAGAGATGCTCTTGGAACTATATGGGACTTCTTGCATTGTGATCCCTCTCTCATAGTCTTACGTGATAAAGAAACCATATGCTGTTGATGGTGGTGCTATTTCGGATTCTCTTTTGCTTTTTAATGTGTGTTTGCTGCAGTAATGTTTCTGAGTTCTTTTTGGGGATATTAAGGATTTGAACTTTAATGTGTGTTGTCCAAAAAAAAGAAGATAACTTCTATTTTATAAAAACATTCCCTCTTTTAGCTTTATCCACTGGTCCGTTTGCCGCTCTGCGTCTTAATCCTCCGGGTTCTTTCCCCCGACTCGGGTCGGAGGGACCAGCTCCGCCGTGGAAGCCACCGGAGCCTGCTACTGACATGTCTAACCGAGACGGACCTCCTCCCTCTCTACTGCAGACCATGGATAGTGAGACTAAAACCATCGTAAAGGAAATAAATAAGCTCTGTTTATCTGGTGGCTTTTAGATCCAGCTTTTGAAGTCACAACCGAGTTTTTGCTCTAGTTTCAAGCTGCTTGAGTTTATTTTACTCTGAGGGCTATAATCTTGGAGTCCAACTCTCAAAATTTACTAGGCGAGTGCCTTACCCAGTATCATCTGTCTTCATCCTCTGTAGTGGCTTGGATACAGTACCAGAGTATCCAATGCATAGAAGGTTATCTTCTTCTGAGAAGGGGAAAAGTGTGGCTTTGGAGCATCTGCCAGCTCCCCGCAAAGCTCGAGTCAAGGTTATGGAACCAGACATTGAATCCCTGAAGAAGAAACACTCTCTTACGCTTATAGGAAGGGTAACTAACCCTTCGGTGCAAAAGGTGTGGTCCTTAATTCCTTTTTTTACCGATCACTGGAAGGCGGACATCCCCCCCGTGGGCTCAGACCTAGGACTTGGCATGTTTCAATTCCAGTTTGAGCTCGAGTCAGATCTTCTCACAGTCCTCGAAAAACAACCGTATCATTACGCTCGCTGGATGGTTATCCTCCAAAGATGGGAACCTACTGTGTCTCCGGACTTCCCATCTATGATCCCCTTTTGGATAAAAATCCAAGGAGTCCCAATCCACCTATGGACTGAGGGAACCATTCGCAGCATTGGTGAAGATTTGGGAACTTTCCAGAAGGCGGAAATTACACCTACTTCCATTCGAATGAGGGTACATGTTAATGGGAGACTTCCTATTATTAAAAGCTCTGTTCTTGAATACCCTAATGGAGATGAAGTGGTAGCCACCTTGATGTATGAGAGACTAGAAAGGCATTGCTCCACGTGTGGCAGGCTTGATCACGAGATCAGAGATTGTCTGGAGGAGAAGGCGCGTGCATCAGGTGTAAGAAGACAACTTGAACCCAGACAGGTGCCTGTGCATCAGAGGTCTAATGTGCATCATCATGAGCATCTTAACCGGCCAGTTCGGAATCAAAACCTGAGCCGAAATTCCTCCCACATCTCGGAGTCTAGAGGTTATTCGAGCCGGAGTAGACGTTTTGATTCCTACCCAAAGGAAAGAAGCTGGCGTAAGCAGGAATGGAAACCTAGAGGTGATCATACCAAGGACTCCTACCGCAGGAATTATGACGAGCATACTCCCCGTCATGGAGCGGGAACTAGGAATGGTGTGGAACATATTCGTGGGGATTCCCACTCCTTTCAGAGACCTGAGACGCAAAGAGATATAAGACTAAATGGTAGTGTGGAGGAGAGGTCATCTCCTGTTAAGACTACACTCTCTTCACACGACCGCACGGCCTCTTCAAGACGTTGTGATTCTCCTCCAGCTAGGGGGGCTCCCCTACTGGAGTGTAACACTATCAACAGTTTCCCACAGGAGGCTGTGGAGACGGCTATGGAGCAAATTCGAGGGGTAATGTCCCAATACGTTGGATGTGCTGATCCGACGGAAAGCGCAGCTCGTAAAGAGAGGTTAAGACAAGCTGAGATCCTTGGTGAAGTTGAGGAAACTGCTCTACAAATGGTTAGAGCAGATATTGCCAGAGAAACCCTTTCTGAGGTGGAGCCTGCTCCCGAGTGGGAACCAGTAAATGAGTGTTTATTACCCCAGGGCCGGCCTCCTATTGCTGCTAGATTAGGCCCCCTTAATGTCGTCTCGCGCGAGACTGAAGAGCTTGATATTCTGGAGGAAGGTGGTCCCCCTGATAGAATCCCAGTTGCAGACAGACTTGGACCTCTCCTTAACTCATCAGATGAGCCAACAGTGCAAAAAAGGAAACCGGGAAGACCCCCTGGTAGAAGAAGAGTGGTTTCGAGCCCTGCAACTAACAAGAGATCATGCTCCCGCAAGAGAAAAGCACAGACAAAGCCTCCCCTGGGACGTGCTAGTACCTCAGGTGATGCGGAACGCCCAAAGAAAATTCCTAAAGCTAGAGTGGCGCGTGCTGAGACATCTCGAGGAGATAAGGTGTTGGGCAACACTCCAACCTCCTCGGATAACATGCCAATTGCGAATTTGATGCCCCCGTCAGCTAGACGTAGGATGGATTTTCGGATCCAATCTAATCCCGCTCCTTAGCGGTGTCAAGCTGGAACTGTCAAGGGTTGAGGAATCCCCGGACAGTTCGAAGATTAAAGGAGATATCGAAAAAGTTTGACCCGGATATCCTCTTCATTATGGAATCTAAAAACCCCAATAATGTAGTACTCAAGAAGCTTGAGCAGCTTCGGTATGACTATCATCATTTAGTCCCGCCATCGGGTCATGGAGCAGGAGGACTTGGTCTGTTTTGGAAACAAGAGTTAAACCTTCAAATTATCGAGTCAAGCGAAAATGTAATCGAGACTTTTATTGAATTTGAAGGGAAAAGTTTCAATGCCTCTTTTATCTATGGAAGTACAGATAAAAAAGAGAGACTGTTATTTTGGGACCAACTGGTTTCAAAAGCGATCATGAGAGAAGGACCTTGGTTTGTAACGGGAGATTTCAACGATATCCTTTGTAATGATGAAAAAGAAGGTGGAATTACTCGGCCTGAAGGATCGTACTCAGATTTTCGTACTTTTTTCTCTGAAGGCGATTTATTTGATCTTCAACACTCTGGAGACCCACTCTCATGGAGAGGACAGCGTGGAGATCACCTAGTCCGATGTAGACTTGACAGAGCGGCGTCGAATACCTTATGGGCGGAGAGCTTTCCCTCTGCGAGGTGCCAATACCTTGAAGCTGACCTGAGCTCGGACCACAAACCTCTACTAGCTTTCTTCGATAATGGAGCCAGAAGGAGGAGGAGAATGTTTAGATATGATCGGCGGCTCTGTAAAAATGAAGAAGCAAAGAAGGTTATCTCTGAGGCTTGGAATGGATCTCCAGCTTCATCTGTAGCGGATAAGCTTGCCTGCACACGGACTGCTTTTTCGGTCTGGAACAAAACTCAACACAGGAACAGCCAGAAAACCATTGAACAAAAGAAGCGGGAGCTAGATAAAGCGCTCTCATGTCCGGTGAATGATACTTCTCTTATCCAAGACATTTCAGCGAAGCTAAATGCAGCTTATCTTGCGGAGGAAGAATATTGGCGACAGCGAAGCCGGCTTCTTTGGCTTAAGTTGGGAGATAGAAACACGGGTTTCTTTCACGCTGTTACCAAGTCTAGAAAGCGGGCAAATGCTTTCTCAGTTTTAGAAAGTGCAGACGGCAGAATGGTTCATAAAGAGGAAGAAATTGTTCAGGTGATTGGCTCGTACTTTCAGGAGCTATTCTCCACTTCGCCGGGCAACAGAGAAGAAGTGGTTATGCGGGCACTCAGACCCATTGTAACGGAGGAGGAAAACTCAGTGCTTACTGCTATACCATCACCGGAAGAGATCCGAGAAGCTGTGATTTCAATCAACGCTGAAAAGGCGCCAGGGCCTGATGGGTTTTCGGCTGGGTTTTTCCACACCCACTGGAGCGACTTAGGACCTGATATTGTGAGGGAAGTGCAGGGTTTTTTCAATGGTTATCCCCTGCCTTGTAACATCAATGCCACCAATGTCCGGCTGATTCCCAAGATCACTAATCCCCAGCGAGTCTCGGACTACCATCCTATTGCGTTGTGTAACGTATATTATAAAATCTATTCCAAATTAATCACAAGGAGGCTGCAACCGCTTATGGAGAAGCTCATCTCTGAAAACCAATCTGCCTTCGTGCCGGGTAGATCGATTGGAGACAATGTACTCATAACACACGAGGTCATACACTATCTCAAAACGTCTAAGGCTGAGCAACGATGTGCCATGGCTGTCAAGACGGACATGAGCAAGGCATATGATCGACTAGACACTACAAGAAAACATCGATATTCCGAGGGCCAATTTCCTCGGAATATCGTCGGAATAGACGTATTCCGAGGACATTCCGAGGAAATTGGTCGTCGGAATTATTTCGTCAGAAAAAAATATTTCCTCGGAATTTCGTCAGACACACCGACGAAATTCCGACGACTTTCGATGGACCAACATTCCGACGAAATTACGAGGGAAGACGTTCCATCGGACAATCCCTACGGATACTTCGTCGGACATAATCGTCGGAATATTTCCGACGAACGTTTCCTCGGAATATTCCGACGGCTGCTTCCTCGGGATATTCCGATGGATATTCCAACGGTGAAGGTCATCGGAATATTCCGAGGAAGCAGCCGTCGGAATATTCCGAGGAAACATTCGTCGGAATATTCCGAGGAAACGTTCCGTCGGAATATTCCGAGGAAACGTTCCGTCGGAATATTCCGAGGGATGTTCTTCCTCGGAAATTCCTATTTTTAAAAAAAAAATAAAATAAAAAATAATTAATTGTTTTTAATAAATATTTATATAATAATTAATTTAAAATATAAACTAAAATTGAAATAAAAAAACATCTTATAATATTTTAAGTTTTAAAAGTAGAATACAAAGTTTTAAAAAACAAATAAAAACCGACTAAAACTCATGCGGGAACAGACGTCGCATCATATCCAACAACTCCTGGTTCTTCTTCTTTGTTTCCTCCACTTCTTGTTGCTGATCTTGCATCCTAGCAAGTATGGTCTCGTTCTGGGTAAGAATTGTGGCATTCTGGTTCTCCAATGCTACGATGCGGTCATCCTTGTTTTGTAGCTGCTCCATAATTGCCGGATCAACAAAAGCCGGTTCTGAAGTAGAAGGAACAGACTTGGAGCAACGAGCCAACCCGAACAAACGGCCTTTCTTCTTAGGAACCGCCTAAAAAACATTAAATTAAAACAGTGAGAAAACATTAAATTAAAAAAAAAAACATTAATTAAAATAAAGATCTTACCGACTCAACAAGTTCGTTGATTCGAACTCGAGAAAGGCTGGGGGAAGCTCTAGTAGTGCCGTCGTCGTCAGACTGAAGCTGAGAGAGGCGTTGGATCTCTTCCTCCTTCTGGGTTTCGACCAAGTCGATCACCTCCCTCACAACGGCATCCGAAATCTCTCCGGTCGACTTGTCGGTATACGCCTCCCTCATTAACACGAGGGAGTCAACCGGCTCACCGTCATTCTGTTCCGCCTGGAAAAAGAAAACANTCTTCCTCCTTCTGGGTTTCGACCAAGTCGATCACCTCCCTCACAACGGCATCCGAAATCTCTCCGGTCGACTTGTCGGTATACGCCTCCCTCATTAACACGAGGGAGTCAACCGGCTCACCGTCATTCTGTTCCGCCTGGAAAAAGAAAACATTTGTTAATAAAAAGCATTAAAAATTGAAATTAAAATTTTAAAATTGAAATTAAAATTTTAAAATTAAAATTAAAATTTAAAAAACGAAATAGGTAAAGAAAATCAGTCGACTTACTAGCTTATCCCCAAGAGTTGACATACTGCAAGCACCCAAGTTGTTCTTGTACCGACCCTTCCCGCCACGGTCGCTGTTGCGGTTGCTGGAATTGGTGTCAGAGGTTCCTTGCGCCTCTGTCTTCTCCCAATGCTCTTGCAACTCGAGCCACACCGTGTCGTTGATCAATTTCGGTTTTTTGCCCTTCTTCCACTTTTGCTTCCACTCATAAACCTGCTTCCCATAATTCTCCATGACTTTATGGGTGAAGGCATTTTCGATAAAGGCCGTATGGAGGGGATTCCAGTTGAACTCTTGCTGAAAAAAAAAACACAATTAGTAGAAATTTAAGTCAAAGATTAATAAAAAAAACTTTAAAAATTGTAAAATACATACCGCAAACTGACGGAACCACATCTCTTGATCTTCTCGGGGGAAGGAGGTGTAGGTAGGATAACCCTTTTTGAGCGCCGAGTACATCATCTGGTTGATGAAGGAACTTATCCCGTTCTGCGATCGATCAAACCTGAAAATAAAAAATTAAGAATCAAGCAACATATAATGAAAAAAAGACAAAAATTTTACAAAAAAATATTACCATGTTTGGTGTGGGCCCGATGGATGCGGAGTGAGAGTGAGAAGATGCTCTCGACCAGGCTGTTGAACCAATTGTTCAACAGTCATGATACCCGGAATGACCGGAGGAGCTGGAGCTGGAAAATCCCGACATATTGGTTCTGCGAAGATGCAGAACCACGAGAGGTGCCCGTCGAACCACCACGAGAACCACCCCGAGACACACCTCGACCTCGTGGTGTGTGGCGGCGAGATCTTGCCTGGCTATCGCTACCCGACCTGCAAAAAAGTAAAAATAGTTTAATATATCTAAAAATTGTAAAACTAAATATCAAAATCTTTTAT